GTTTTCAAGTGGAGAACTGCAGTACTGAGATTAGTTTTGTTTTGATGAGAAACTGTCAGGCAGCTTCTTGTTTTGAAAAATTAAAGCTAAGCTGGGAGTTGGGCACGGAGCTCCTTAGCTCCATCACCAGCCTTCTGCAGCAGGGACCCAGATTAGCGCTTGCTTTCGCGATCTGTGTTAATCTGAACCTTTAAATTTCCTTCCCTTGTGCCTCTGGTTTCAAGTGTCCCATTCTGCTGGTGTTTCTTGCAGAGCCGCAGACAACGCATTTGGTAACCATCACGTGTGCCTTGTACCTTGCATGGCAGATTGATGGGAAGGTTGTTTATGGCCTGTGCGGGGTGTGCATTGATAGGGACTGCTCGATGCGCTCCTCTCGGGTGGAAAGCACAAACGTTTTCATATCTGCGCTGAAAACTGTGGTTCCTCTGCCATGTGCAGCTTGCTGTGAGCCAGGGCTGTTTCTCTGAGATGGTAAACAGCAAGTTTGATTCAGGTAGGCAGGGGTACTGCTGCCTTCTCCTCGTTCTCTGATCCTTATAAATGCTCTGGTAGCTGTTGGGCTTCTGGCAGCATCTATTTAGCACAAAGCAGAGCTAAGCAGAGAGCCAAGTCAGAAATCTGGGCTATGTTAGATGATGGAAGCAGAGCACTCCCGTTGGTCCAAGCTGACAGACAGCCTTCCCTGTGCTCGCTGGTACAGGTGGAGTGGTGCTGGTGTGGCTGGAGTGCTTCCAGTGCATGCTGGCTTGGTGTCTGTGCTGTGCAGTGTGTGTGTGCCTCCTGGTTAGCTCATCTCATAGCAGGGAGCCTGTCAGACAAGAGTCTTGTGAAGCATCACGCTTATTCCATTATTTCCAGGCTCCCAGACAAACAGCGTCTGCTCATTGCAACTCCTGCACCTCCCCAAAAAATAGTTTTATTCAAAGAAACTCTTCTTTTTCACTGAAGCTATTGAGAATTGAAGTGAAACCTTCCCAGCCAGGGACACAAGGCAGCATGTGTATCATCTGCCTTTATTACTGCTGCACAGTGTGCTCACTGGCTGCCCATCTCTGCAGAGAGCTCCAAGCCTTCCCCACAGCAGTGATGACCGCAAGGCTGGTGTGTTGCAGAGGATCGGGGCCGGCTGTGTGTGTCTGAACAGCTCTGCGATCCGTGAGGGATGTCAGAGGACCTCTCCTGATGACTGGGACCTGGTTTGAAAGGCTCCAAGGCAATAAAGAAGGGCTCTGAGGAACCACTTGTGCTGTTGCGAGTGCACCTGATCTGGGGATAAATACGCAGGTGTTGTGAGGTCACCTGCAGTGCTTGGCTGTGCTACTGTGCAGGTGGTGGATGTGCTCGGCACCAGCAGGGTTGAGATAACATTTTTTCCCCAGTGTGGGAGTGTTTCTATCTGAGCCTTTGGATTGTGGCTGCCTCTGCTTCCCAGCCTGTTTTCCAGCTGGCTTCCCAGCACCAGCTCCTCTTTGCAAATACCCCCTGAGATACCTGATTTGGCAGAGATGCAGAGCAGCTGCAGGTCCTGGGGGCTGTGGACTGAGTGGGAGCTGCAGTGCTCAGCACTCCTCCAGCTGATGCGACTGATAAAGGTATGTGGCACATGGGCAGGCCAGCTCAGTGACACTGCAGGTACACCGAGACTCTTGGTGTGGTAACGGTGGGCAGATGTGTCCTATGGGCTGCTGCTTCATCAGTGCCACCTGCATGATGAGCCTGGCTAAGTGAATCAAGTTGCTCCCTTGGCTGTGTGTGTTTCAAGGAGGTGGTAATTTGAGGAAGATGCCAGTGTGACTCTCACAAATGTACCTGTGTGGCTTTGCAGGGCTCTTCACTCTCGATTTGCTTTCCTTTGCTTGCATTCTCCCTCCCTGAGTTGTTCTCCCAAGGTTTTTTGCAAGCTTTACCTTTCATTCTCCACCTCCAGAGCTCTTTCCTTTGTCAGCATGAAACCTGTGCTAATCATAATTTCCTAGGAAAGAATTTCAGAATATTTAATGGCTTCTACGATAAGGAGTGCTTGAAAGATTAGGCCCAGCATGCAGAGTCAGGAGATCCCCATTGTTAACATAGCTACATGGAGACCTTGCTGATCCAAAAGGTGCCAGAACCTTTTGGTTCCCAAATCTCATCACAGGAGGAACCAGTGTGTCACTGTCTTGGGGAGAGGGAAGCTTTTCCCATTCCTCCTTCCAAAATGACGCATCCAGGAGGAAAGCTCTATTTCTTGGGAGTGTTGTTTTGCTATGGTGCTCTGGAGATTGGGCATGCAGCATGTGTTGGAGAGGAGTGGGCATATTTATGATGCCTTTAGGTATCTGGCTATAAAGAAACCTGCCAAAAACCCGAGTGCACTGAATTGTACTTTAAGTATTGCCGAATCCCAGCTGCAAAATGTTAGCGGGGCTCCTTAGAAAATCTGCATTTGATTCAGCTGTGGAGGTTACCAGCAACTGCAGAATTAGTGATGAATGTGTTTGCTAAGCGTGCCATTAAGAAATGAGCCATGGGCAGATGGAGGAAGGAAGAGCAGAGCTGCTTTGAGCTTTCCCGTCCTTATAGAGAAGGTGCTGGGAGCTGCTGTGCCATGGGGATCAACTGGGCTCTGGCTAAGATGTATTTAAAACTGTACATTTTAGGGGAAGGAGTGAAGACATCCTCTGCTGAGGTTTCCTTGCATTCTTCAGAGATGCAGCCTTGCCTGGCAATGGGGTGATGAGCACCGGAGCTGGAAGGAGACTGCTCCTTTTGTGGCTACCCCAGTACTGCTTGGCTCAGCATCTTGAGGCCACCAGGATTCACCATCAGCAGCCCCTGCGTCAGTCAGGAATGCCAACCACAATCCTTCAGACTGGGTCTGCTTTGCAGTCCATGTCTCAGAAGTGTAACAGAGCCAAAGAGTAAGGAAAATGTAGCATAGTCTCTTCTATCCAAATCCCTCAGGCAAAACATGAAACAAGAACCAAAAGAAAGAGTTAGGAAACGGTGCCAAGCTATTTCCCATGCTGTGCAGTCCTTCCTGAGCCCATAAGAGCCTTCACAGTGAACCAGCCGTGCATGTGCTCTCATGCCCTATCTCAGGGGCATCCTGTGTGCTAGAACACTGAATGCTCAGAGCAGGGGGCTGGTGAGGACAGATATTCTCTTAATGCAGGTATGCAGAGCTGTTTCTGATCCTTAAAATGAGACTTGAGCATGTATTTAACTTGATTCAGGTAACCTTGTTATCCTTGGCTAGCACCTTCAGTGGAGCAATCCAAAGCACAGAATTGACCATTCATCTCCATGTAAGGAAAACTGCATGAACCAAGGTCAGGTGGAAGCGTGGTTGTCTTGAACTTCTTGGTTCAGACAGCCATCAGGTGGCTTTTATCACTTCTCCTGGCCTTATCTTTTCCTGAATTACTTCAGCTGCCCTGTCCCAGCCTTGGTGCGTCATCTTCCCAGCCTGTGGTCTCACCAAATCCAGGAATTCCTGCAAAGCCATGAAGCATCTGCTGTGAAATGGGATGGTTCTGATTCACGTGGATAGCACTGGTTAAAAATGCTGGCAGTGCAAATTCTGCCAAAACAAACGGTTCATTGAAATCTGTTGAATGGGAAAGCGATTTCAATGAGGTTTCTTTAGTGGTGATGTGGGGAAGGGAGAGGGAAGCCAGCAGTGGGGTTTTGATTTTGGCTGGTGATTGAAGTTGTCTTAGAAAAAAATAAAATAAAATTAAATCCTATTGTATAATCTTCAAGTTTAAGAGAATTGAAAGGAAATCTGTTGAGGAGCTGCTAATTGAAGGAGTTCTGAATTTGCCTTGTAAGAAACATCAACACTTTAGCTGTCCTTGTTCTGTTTTGGAACAAGCTTCCCCAAACTGATGGAGTTTCCCACAGAGCAGATGTTCATTCCCTAATTTGTACTTCATCAGCAAATACTTGAAATCCAAGCCTGTGTCCCTTCTCAGCTATAGGGTGGCAGGAGTCAGAAGATGGATTTCAAAGCAGGGCTCATTGCCTATGGTGGTGTAGGTGTGCCTGTGCCAGGACAGCTTCCCCCAAAGTGTTCACTTATTGGTAGAGGGAGGGTTGTGCTCCACTTGGTAGCCTTCCACTTAAATAAGGCCCTGCACCTACAGACTTTCAGCTACACATCATTAATCCATGCGCTGATGTGGAGGCTTTAAATGAGTAATGGGGAGGAAGACAAAGGTAACATGTGAAATATGCTCCATGCAAGGCTGTGGTCAAAAGAAGCCTCTGGCTCTGGGCTCGTGGCTGTGCCTGGCTGATGCAGCACCAAGCTGCCCGCGTGTGCCAGGCAGGAGCTGTCTGTCGGGCAGACATCATGACAAGCTGTATTTATCCTGGCTGTTGCTTGGCAGTACTGTTCCGAGGTGCATCAACATAATGAGATACATAAAAGGGGAAAGGCAGTTAAATGTGTAATTGCATCACAATAAATGTAAAACTGAACATTAATGAAAAAATCTGAGCATCCTTAGTGTGGTACAGTTGAACACTCCCACTACCTTGGGCCTCGGTACCCTAACTTTATGGTAATTTCTGGTGATGTCGTTAGGAGAATTAAATGCATGGTCTAGCTGTCCAGAGAGACATTAGGAAGAGAAAAAAATGGGTTTTGAGACTTGTGGGTGTCCCTTGGCAGCATGAGTTGGGGGAGCTGCTGCCAGGTGATGCCTGAGCATTAGAGGTGAGGAGAAGGGAAGGATGGGTGCAAGAAACAGTGTGATCACTTTGGAAATGAAACTGTGCAATGACTGGAAGGGATCAAAGCACCTGAGGTGCTGCTGGATGCTCAATGAACGTGTGTATGTGTACATACGTTCCTGGCTCTGACCCTGCAGTGCTGCCTCTGGTCCAACAAACATGATACTCCAGAAAGAGTATAATGGCTGATATGGTTATACACTGGGAAAAAATGGAACCAAATCAATTGCTTTCCTCCTAGTAAATGAAGTCTTTTCTCTTCTGTGCCCCCATGGCAGGTTTTGGAGGCTCGCTTGCTGCTCGTTGTGCACTGAGGCCATGGCACCGTGGCTCACCGGAATGGCATCTCTCTCTCTTGCTGCCCTCGGACTCCTGCTGTCAGCTGTCCCTGCTGATGCTGGGTAAGGTGGCAAGAGGCAAGGCCTTTGGCCAAGGCTGCTGTTCTTTCTCTGTGCTTCAATATACCTGTGCTGATAACTGCATGAAGCAGTTCGGGGCAAATCCTGCAAAGATTCTCTGCTGTTTCTTTGGTTGTGCTTTGGGCAGCCTTTGTGGGCACGTAACACTACAGCAATGGCTGCTGCCAGTGCCTCTGCTCTCAGCCCCTGTGTCTTTCACCCAGTGACTGCTCAGTCTTGCACAGCTGAGCTGACTGATTACATTAACACTATTTGAGCTGTTCTTGCTAAGGACGGTTGTCAGCATCTTTTGCAACAAAACCAGTTTTCAAACATAGCCTTTCTGCATTTCAGCTTTGGGTGAGGAGTGGGCTTGGATGATTTTTAACCTGAAAGTGGCACACACACCTCTTTCCAACTTTAATTTTTTAAAATACTCTTTAAAAACAAGCAATCTGGAAGACAATACTGTTTCAGCAGTTTGGCTGTTTGTGATGTAGGGAGAACTGTGCACGAACGTAGGCTCATAGACTCATAGAATGGCTGAGGTTGGAAGGGATCTCAAGCCAATCCTGTTCCAGTGGGGATGTAATGACTTTTCCCCCAGCCTCTCCTAATTAAATTTGCTGTATAACTGTCTTCCCTGCCTGAAGGCTTTTAATTCATCCCTCCTTGGAGTGTTGCACTGGCGCTGCTGTTTCCCCCCTGCCCGTGCCGCTCCCCTGGTGCCTTCCAAGTGGATCCTATACTGCTTGTGTTGAAGTCAAAACCTCAAATGTCAGCCTAAGTAAAACCACTTTGAAATCTGTAAACTCATTTTTTCCCATTGCTGCTGAGTCTCTGCCAGGAGTTCTTTCACAAAAATCTGTCCTCTCGCTCTTTATATTATGGGTAATTTTTAAAGATAGCTTATAAAACATTAATGAATGAGCTTTCATGAGCGTGCTAGCTATTCATAAGTTATAGATGGTTATATACCCATCAGCAGACACGGTTACAGATTGCTTTTAACTGTGACATCCAGTGAAAGCTGGCACAATTGAAACCTCGCTAATTACAGCAGGCACTTGTTAAATTCCTCAAAATCCCCTTTACCTGGGGGAGTGGAGGTATTTCAGATTTCCGTTACGCTCAAGTCCAGGTGAAAACCAGAACCACTGTTTTGGTTCAGATAAGTCTTAAAGGCTGAGATGCTGAGGGGTTTTGCTGTTTCAGCATTGTGATGTTGCATGGGGGCTGAGGGATGCATCTCAAGTGCTTCATGGCCTTGTTCAGCTGCTGGAGGCTGAGCTTCCTGCCTTGACCACTGCTCCCATGAGAGCTGGTATTGGTTCGCTACAAATCAGAGACCAAGCACCCTTGTGAGATGTGAGATCTGATCCCTGGAGAAACAAACCTCAAGCACTTGAAATCCAATTTCCCACTGTCGTTGGTCACTGATGCAGACAGATTAATGTCAAAATTGCTCAAAATGAGATATTTCAATTAACGGCGACATGCTGAATAACATCGATTCAGCCTCTCTCTAAAAATAACTACAACCTTCCTTGCTCNNNNTTTTTTTTTTTGTAGAAATCAGATTTTATTATTCCTTTATTTTACAGGAAAGGGATTTTGTGTTGGGGAATCATTTTGGTACAAAACTCCCAGCAGCTCTGCTGCTTGTCACCCTCTCGACCCCTTATAGAATCTTTACAAGTGGACTCATAATGTCAGAGGTGGCTCATCTAACCAGATGGGATGCTGCAGGTTTACGCTTTGAACAGCTTCACTGATATTACACCCTTCCTCTTCCTTTCTTTTTTTTTTTTTCATTCTTCTTCATAATGATTTCTCAATCCTTGCACTTCATTTCCCTGCTCATACCAAAGCCATGGCTGCACCCCATGAGCTGAGCAGAGCTGATGGGCTGAGCGAGCCCTGTGCTGTTCTCTGGGCTGCTCCCCCCTCCTGAACAGAAATCTAGAACACTGGTGTGGTGACATTGACTTTCCTTATGCTTTGCACCTAGGAGGGGTTTGCTGGGCTTTCTCCAGGTTTATGCCACATCCCTTATTTTTTATTTTTATTCTTTAGTGTTTTTATTCCCTTCTCCATCTTTCCTGCAATCTCAGCATCTCTACTGAGTTTTGTTTTCTGTTTCTTAGTCTTCTGCCTTTCCATTAGTTTTGTTCCTACCAGTTATTTCTGCTGGGAAAAGCTGTACTTGGAACTTCAGCACTGATAGATACCCTGTGCTGTTTAAAATCTTTGAAGCAGCCAGTTTTGTGAGGATTCGTAGGCTTCTTTCTGTTGATTGAAAGGGAGACGCAAAATGCAAATGTGCTATTTGAGCCCCTTGGGCTTGCAAAATTGCGCTGGATATTTTGTTTGGTGATATGAGTTTTGTTTGAGAAATGTGCTGCTTATTTTGTTCCACCTGGGGCAGAAAATGCCCCAAGGAAATCATCTTATTTGGGGCTCCTAGGCTTCTTACACTGAGCGGAGATAGGAGCATGAAAACTCATTTGATTTTATAAACAGGGAAAGTTCAACAAACTGCAAAAATGGCTCACATAGGGTTTTAATGGCAGACTCAGCCTCCCAGCCTGCTTTACCGATTTCCCATTTTTCTGCCCCTCTTTCCTTTTCCCAGGGGAAGAACACTTGGAAATGGGCTGATATGGTAAATAACTGGCAGTACTTGCTGCATGCCTCCTGCAAGGAGAAACCAGCACTTGAATAACCCTCCGATTCCCAAAACCTCTGTTCCTCCAACTGCCTTTCTTAGGGGCAGGAGAGGGACACCAGCACAGGGTACTCCTAGCTGGGCTGGGACATGGATAAGTGTCCTTTCATTTCCATAGGTACTTAGAGTGTATAAAGAGTATTTCTATTCTGATTGTGGCTTTTTTCCTCTCTCCTCTTTTCCCCAAACGCACCAGGCTTTCTCAGAAGCATGTTTCAGACGTCGTCGATGACAGCAAAGACAACATCACCATTTTCACGCGCATCCTGGACAGGCTGTTGGATGGCTATGACAACCGCCTGAGGCCTGGACTCGGAGGTCAGTTGGTTGGAGTGATGATGTTCTCTGCATCTGTATGGCTTTAGAAATGAGGGGCTGCACAGATGACTTTTTAACAAAACTGATGGTACTGGGAGGAAAGCCAGAGCCAGTCTCTTGCTGGTTGTGTTGTTTTGGGTCCGTTCTATCTCGTTGTTTGGTATTTTGTGAGAAGACAGGCACAAGTCTCTACAACTGTTGTGGTCTTCTGTGACATTACATTGGTAGGCCTGTAGATGGAGCAAATATAATTTTATTTATTTCTGCTACTTGAATAGGCAGTATCATGTCCTAAATTATGACACCACTGGCTTGCAGAACCTTCCATCCATGTTGGCATTGCTTTTTAGTTGCTGAGTTTTGCTGCAGAGCCTCTCTCTTGATGTCTTCTCAGCTGCTTCCTAGGTAGCTGTTACCTGGGGAAATCTTCTATGTGTACTGATCTGGGTACCATGCACTCAGCCGAGCTCTGCTATCTCCTGAGCTTCCTTCAGCATTGCCATTACAGTAGCTGCTGAGCTCTTCTCCAAGCACCTGCAGATGTTTAAGTGCTTTTAGAAAGCAAATCCCTAGGTAGTCACCTTCCAGTGCTCATGGTATGCATCTAGCATGCTGTATGGAGAAAAAAGCAACAGGGAGATGTTCCTTCCTACTGGAGGAACTGCAATTCCTACCCAGAGCTGACTTGCCATGCATCTGTCATTCCCCATACATCTCACTGCTAAGCTCTCTGTCTTCCTGTATGCTGGTTATAAAGCAATAGCCAGGAATTGCACCCTGTGTTCCTCTGCCCACCCCCTTGTCCCCACCTTGTCATGGCCTTCTTCTTACATCTCTCCTAGAGGGCTATGGCCCTAAGAAGAGGTTATGTAAAATTTGTAGAAGAAGGGTTTCTCCAGTGAGCATCCTCACTTCAGATGAGCTGCCATGCTGCAGAGCCCAGCTGGGAAAGGGTTACTCTATCTGCATAGGCTATCCATCAGTTTTATTGCTTTTGTTGCTTGTTTCTTTCCCCCAGAATTAACTGCGGTCCCACTAATAGCTTTGCTTCCTCAAGTCTCCCCGATGGCTCTATTGATTTAACTCAAATGATTCTGAGAGGGGACTGAGGGGGCATTTATGTTCACCGTAGGCTCAGTTGCAGACAGCCCTGTGCTAAGTATTAACAAGAGGACTCCCAAGAGCCCCCTTGCTGGGAAAGTTAAAACCTTTCTTGGAATATCTCTGCTCTGTTGCTTTAGATCCTTTAATAATGTGCTTAACATAATAAATTGTCTTTGCCTGAGCCAGACATTGCATGCTCAAAGACTGCTTTCACCTCTGACTTTCCCTCGTGGAACACTCTGGCAGATGCAGATAGGAGGTCTTAACAAAGGCTGTGGGTTTGGGGGGCTCAGGCAGAAATGGACCTGCTGCAAACCAGGAGCCATCCTGGGGTGACTGTCAGCAAGAGATGGGCTTCCAGTGTCCACGGTTATGCAAGAACCAGCGGGAATCAAGCAGCAGGGTATGCAGGCTCACTTCTTGGCCTTGTTTTCCTCACTTTGTGTCAGACGTGTTCTTCTGAACCCCCTTGTCAGCACATGGGAGCAGTATGGGGCTGGCTGTGCCCAGGCTCCTGCCCCCGCATCCAGCAAAGTCTTTTCCGTGCCCACTGGGAACTGAGCAATGTTTGTTTAGACTTTGGGAAAGGAGTCTGTGTAAGCAACAGAGTGTTGATGTGGCGACTTCTCCCCTCAAGATAGCCTCTTTGTATTTATTTTCTTATCCCCTCTGTTTCCACCATCTGCTGCCACCCACTCTAATAGCTGCCATGCCAAAGCTCCTCTTCCCACCAGGATGCTGCAGACTCAGGCTGAAGCACAGCAGTGCTGAGGCTGCTTAAGAGCACCCAGAACTGCAGAGATTGCGGCCCCGTGCCTGGGTGCTGCTCCATCCCTGAGATGTGGCTCAGGGCATCCTCTTAAGTGAGGAGTCCTTGCAGTCCTGGTGGTTCCTGGATGTCTGGGAGCACGCACCAAGCCATGCTGGAAGAAAGGCTGAGGGGGAGAAGTGTCTATCAGATCCCTTCTTCTTCAGGAACACCAACAGCAGTGGGGACACAGCCACTTGTGTCAGCAAGAAGTCTTCCATGCCTGGTAGGAGGTTTTTCCCCTGTTTCTGTCATGTGCCCTCAGAATGGCTTGCTCCAATGGGCTGAGTCCTCTGCTCTGTCTGACCCCATGACCACTGAAATGGTCTGGGCTTGGGGAAGGAGTAGCTACATAAATGGATCGTGTTATGGAGCTTGGAGAGGAAGGAACTTTCAGCAGATAACCTGTCGTTCCCTTGGGTAAACACAGTGCAGATGGGTTATTAAGTCAGAAGAGGAGCAGAAATGGACCCTGAGGGAATGGAGACATCTGTTGTCACGGCCAACCTTGTGGGAGAAGAAAATCTCCTGCAGAGTGAGGTTCTGTATGGGCAGCTTTGGCCTCCCCTCTCAGTCTGGAGTGGTGGATCACATGGATGCTCTGCCTGGCCCCTCAGGGCTGTGGTGAGGGGCATCTACTTATAGCTCACAAATTCTCTTTGCTGCTGGGGCTTCCTGCAGAGAGGGCCTTTGCTTTGAAGCTGGTGCTTGCCTTATTGCAAGGGTTGGAGTGAGAAAGTATGGCCAGGAGAAATGGGTTGGGCTGGCTGACGAAGGGAGAGATGTCATACACCTGGAAAGGAAGGGTGTGAATGTGAGCGGTGGGACACTGAGTAACACTCTGAGAATGACTGATGCACAGACAACTCTGTGTGTTCTTTGGCTGCTTACTGTGAAGAGTGATTGATGTTCTGCAGTCCTTGCATGGCCAGCTGGATGCCCACACCATCACTTCAGAGAGGTCATAGTGCCTGTCGTTGGGTTGTTTGAGGTTCAGCAATGGTCCCTGTGCAGCTCTCACCTCCAGCAGCATTATTTCCATCTGGTGGTTGTTGGGTTTGTTCTGTTGCAACTTAAATACACTGATCCTGTGAATGCCAGGGGAGGAGTAGAAGGGAGGTTTCCAGACTTTTCACAGCCTTTTTCTTCCTTTTAATGCTCTTTGGCAATATCACATGGAGGGTTTAATGTTTCTTCCCTTTTCTATCAGGAAGGAGGCACAGGGCCTTTCTATAGCTGTTTGCAAAGCAGGGTAAGGATTTCTCCCATCTCAGCCTCCTTAGCCTCCAAAGGTGTCTGCTTTGGAGGAGCTGAGGGAGTCTGAGGTGCTGCTCAGTGTAAGTGTGAGGTTCTGAGTGTGTCTGGAGCAGTGTTGGGCAAAACTCCCATACTGGGTGGCCAAAGAAGCCTGCACTCCAGAAAGCTGCTGGCCTTTCCTAGAGGCTGCCAAGAAGGGCAGGGTTTTGTCACAAGGAGAAGGTCCATGAGGTCGCAGTTTTTAAGAGATGGACTTTAAACTTTCTGGATTACCCAGTTTCTCCAACTGCAATTAAACAGTAATTTGTAGCATGTTAAGCAGCTAGTCTGGTCTCGATGGCTGTTCTCCCATCTGGACGCAGCATCACCTTCAGGGTAATTCATGGCATTTCCTTGGAAAATCTCCTACTTCATCAGTCTGGAGTCCCCAGATGTCTGACCTGGTCCTGCTAATGGGGCTGTGTCTGGACAGGCATTTTGCTGGTCTGTGTCCCCATGATGTGATGAGGGTTAGGAGCCTACTGCAGGGCAAGGGATCAGCAAGCACAGACAGCTGGATTAAAGTAATGCCATTCCCTAAGAACTAGATATGTGGCTCTTATGATCTCTTCTCCTCTGGGGGCAGGACGTCATTCTCAGGGTAGGCAGCAAGTGGGTCCCCCCAGGCAGAAAGTCCCAGCTTGTGTCCTGAGGCTATTGATTGCCTCCTCTTCCTCATCTCCAGTCAAGGATGCCCAGCACAGGCACCCCTGGTGCCTTTTATCTGGGCTTGCAAAGTCAGCTCTGCCTTGCAATTGGTTTTGATCTGTAGCCACCTGTTAATATTTATCCTGCTGATAGATTCTCTTTATTCTTCTCTAAGTGAAGTGCACCCCAACCGGAGCTTTCGCTGTTTTCTTTCCGTGGTTCAGTGTTCCTTCCTGTTTGTTTTACTGATGGTGCAGTTTGGCATGATGTCTTCTGAGCAAGGAAAAGTCTGTATCCCTCTTTTACCACCCAGGTTTCACCAACTCAAGTGCTGATGGCCAAATGTTTTGGTCTTGGGTTCAGAGTGGCTCCGCCTGGGTTGACACGCTCCTGTGAGCCATTCAGTGTGTTACACTCAGTGCCTCTGTCTTCTTGTCATGACCTCCTGCAGGTAACAGCTTCTCAGTTATTACGTGGCCATCCAGGCAGAGGGGCTGAGATAGAATGAAAGAATTACAGAACTGCTCCCTGTTGCAGCAGCTGATTCCAGGAACCAGGGGGGCTGGGCTCTGTCTGCCCTCGAGCTCCTTTACTCTCCAAGGTGCTGTTTTTCACCTGTGTGTCATGAAGCTAACCTACGACTCATGTCATAAACATTACCTCGATCTGTTGTTTGTGCAGGAGAAGCATTAGCTGACAAGCCCAGTGGTCCGTTGTGTTTTGTTATGATTTCCAGGATTTCAGGGCTATGCTTAATCTGTTTCTCTGCCTTAATATTCCACCTCTCCTAACTTCTCATCTTTTCTCTCTGATCTGACTTCATGCCTTGCATTGATTACTCCGGGGAGGAATCTTCCTCTTTCTTAGAGGAAAATCCATGTCTTATCTCAGCTTTTTGTCTTTGTCTGAGATTCCTTGATGAGTTTTAATTTGAAGCTGAGACACTGCCTTAGCAGTGATTTCTTCTATTTACCTTTCTGGGCAACAGGGACCCTGCACCGTCTTGTCAAATTTCTGAAGTTAAGATCTATGAACAAATACAGAAAAAAGAAGAAAAAAAAAAAGGTTGTTTTCCCCTTGAGTGCAGCTCTCTGAAGGCAGCTTTGCCATGGATTTGCACAGCCCCTGATGCTCCCCTCTCTCG